AAATTTTTGATGATTCCCCATACATTTCCTTATAACAGGACACCACAGAAACCAAGCTTGGGCTACCTGTGGTATACGTAATATGTGGTTTACTCTTATTATGAGATTTTATAGGATTAAGATTTAATCCTCTAAGAGCTCTATCACAAAGAACAAAGAGTCCCCAGAGTACATTGGCATTATATATATTTGTGTAACATTTGTATTGGTGCTATATATATATATGTATATATATATATATATAGTAAAGATTGGATTAAAGACGAGACATGTTCACTGTAACTCCGAGTTTCGTGCTTACGCACTCATCAGACAGATTTTAATTAAAGTCTGTCTGATGAGTGCGTAAGCACGAAACTCGGAGTTACAGTGAACATGTCTCGTCTTTAATCCAATCTTTACTAACTGAACTGTGCCACTAGAAAACTGCACGATCATATCATCCACGGCGATGAATTCTACATGGATCACACTAGTTCTTACTGGACTGCTTGGGACAGCATACGCCACAGGTAATGTTAAGCGGAATGTTTCTTTGGGTAGAAAGTTTCAATTCTCGATCTTCATTACCTATACTATGACACCTCGATACTTAAAACGCATTTTAGGCATACGCCACAGGTATAGACCCCTTGCTTTGAATTCCTAGAGGATTGTTCTGAAGACAAAACAAAAGGCCGTCCTTCTTATGCAAAAAAAAAAAAAAAAAAAAGCTTAGTGCAAGGGGTCTATTAGCCATTCCGAGGTTGAGGAAGTTGAGGGGAAAAAATTGGTTTGAGTTGGCAATTGTTCTGGGAACTAAACAATAGGCCGTCTCTTCTTATATGCAAAAAAAATCCATTGTTTTTCCCCCACAAGAATTAATCTCGGGACTCAGTGCAAAGGGTCTATCCATTAGCCATTGTCGAGGAAGTTGAGGGAAAAACTGTTTTGAGTTGGCATTGCGGTGTATTGAGGGACTGTTTGATTGGACATATTTCCAAGATGGCGTCTATTCCGTCCCCTAAAACAGGCACAAATTGCACTGTAATGCCAATTCAACTCGACCCAGTTTTTCCCTCCACCTCAGAATCGCTATAGATTCAAAGCTCGTTCCTTCACCAGCTTTTGAAATTGGATTCCAATCCATGAAACAAGCTTTGAGAGACATTTTCATATCTCTAGCTGTATGACTCTTGACCCGCATTAGTGCAAATATAAAACTAGTAATCACCATCGCTCTAGATGAGACTGCCATCTTAAATCAGCTAGTACCCGAGTAGGCAAGACATGGTGGATTCCTTATCGAGTGGAATTAATCTACGAACAAAGAACTGAACCAAGTTGTACTCAGTTATTTTTGCAACAAGTGTGCTTTTTCAGCCGAGGCTTGATCTCGAGCACAATACAAAGTCCCGCTTAACCCGAACGGAAGAAAACTCGGAGTCTTCACCTTCACATGAAAAAAAAACACTATGAGTAAAACCTCTCTCTTTTAATTTCTATTCATAGGTGGCGCCAGTTGGGGTTATGGAAAGACCAACAAACAAGGTAAACAAACATGAAAAACTTGCATGGGGGCTTATTCTTTTGTCAGTGCTTTTGTACTGGGGAACCTATTAGAGGCTGGGGGCTTAATATAGTGATCAATTTTCGTGATTTTTTGGAAATTTACAATTACTTTCATTCATAATAGTCTTGACAGGTGAAAGGACCTTTAAAGGCCTGCCAAGGGAAAAGGAACACAACGTTCCATAGGGCTGGGGGCTTATTACCACAGAAACCACCATAGCGTGGAAACGAAAGGAAACAACATGCCATTGTCACGCCCACATACATTCACGTTTTTTTCTCAAAACATAGAAATTGCTGTTTACATTCGTTAGCGGCAGTTTGATAAAAGAGCATAGGAGAGGACAATCAGAGCCTTTTCAAGCCACGTTTTGTAAAATCACAAAGGAAAAACGAAGAAAATTTAAAATAAATGTATACTATACTTTACATCATGTACTTTGGCGTATTCAAGCGGACTTATCGCTGGACGGGACTCACCTTGAGATATCCCAGTCTTGCCGGCGTCCATAGCTGGATATATATATATATAATCACTAGCTTGCATCGATCTTACAACTTACGTCATTAATATTAATAACTGATCCTTACGTCCACACAGCGTATGGTCCAAGGGACTGGGGAGAAGTTTCACAATACTGTAACGGTCGTTCCCAGTCTCCTATCAACATCATTCGAAGGAAAGCCGTCCGGAAAAATCTCCGTCCTCTTATTGTTGAGTTTGAAAACGAACAAGGGGAGGTGACGGGAACATTCAGCAACAATGGACACTCTCCGACATTTACTGTGGATAAAGGTAAAATAGTCATTATAAGACTATAACATAGCTTGATGTCTTTACCATTAGTGTGAGAGACAAAGGGTTCTTGTGAGTCAAAATAGGGGGAGAGTGCTGTGAAGCAGACTGGGGTCACCAAGGGCATATTAAGAAGAAGCTTCTCAAAATGAAGATCACTCATACAAAGATACCTTCATTTCTACTTGACATGTTTACCATCAAAGGGTTCTTGTGAGTCTAGCTAGGGTGGGAGTGTTGTGAAAGAGACTGGGATCAGATTGGGTTTCCCAAAAGAAAGATCAACTACTAAAGAAATAGAAAACGCGCGCGCGTGCTGTGTGCAGTTATAAAGCACGCGGGGGTTGGCAGAACACAAGAGAAGTGTTAGGAGAAGCACGAACCGTAGCGGAGTGCTTTTCGACAATTCTCAAGTGTTCTATCAATCCCCAAGTGCTTTATAACTATACACAGCACAGCAGAGCAAGTTTTTTATTTCTTTTATAAAACAAACATTAAAAAAATTGTTATTTTGGATACGAATAACGCAACTAAAAGTTCGCGCGCGTGCATGTGCTCTCATAAATCACGCGCTCTGAACCAATCAAAACGCGACATTTATAACAGTTATTTTATAAACAAAGATAGCTTTATTTCTACTTAAAATGTTTACCAGAAACGATTCTTGTTTGCAGCTCAAGGTGGAGCAAGCGTTGTGAATCCGATTGATGAACAAAAATTCATTTTGGATCAGTTTCACTTCCACTTTGGCTGTGCAGACTATTCTGGGTCTGAGCATACTGTTAATGGTAGAGCATATGCAGCAGAGGTGAGTCTATTATCATCATACTTACATCGTCATACTTATTCCTTACGACCAAATGACATTCGAGATTGTTTGATTGGAGATGGCGTGGTGGTAAAACGCTCGCCTCTCATTGAGTTGCGACACTACTGGGTACTTTGCAATGACCATGGGTAATTAGCAATGACAATGTCTTTCTATATTCAACATATTTTATTTATCCATGCCAGTACAGTGTTACTTTTCTGTGGATTCAATCATACTGTTTTGCTTGCTTTTATCATCAAAATTAACCGCGGCATTCTTAAGATATGACTTCCATAATTCTGATCTATCGGATCCCGACTCACTGATTGCCCGATTTCACGTTGTTTGTTTTCCTCTAGATGCATATGGTGTTTTACAATTCCAAATACGACAACGCAGGAGATGCAGCGACAAAACCAGATGGTTTGTTGGTGATCGGAACATTTTTACGTAAGGTTAGTTTGGTGTCTTCTGCTCTGCTGTGCTCTCCCCTCTCTTCTAACACAGCCAACTTCAATCACTCCAATTATTTTCTCAGAAACAGTTATTTTGAATCAATATAGAAAGAGGTCTATATGTGTATATCAAGAGCTTAATGTAGCGTTGATAATTAATTAGCAAATATGGAATTGCTTACCTTGTTTTCATCAGAGCAAGACTGCATCAAAAGAACTTACAAAACTGGCTCATTCATTGCCGAACATCAAAACAGAAGGTTAGGGAACGAATGAAAACAAAATGAAATAGAGGATATCGCCAAGTGCCCATGTAATATTCTGTTTATCATATAATTATCCATAAAATCAACTTAACAAGCTTTTTATTACTATAAAAAGTTTTTATTCATAAACTAATAGCTTAAATACACATGGTAACGATATTTTCACATGTGAAAATATCAGTTTTTCGAAAAGGAGAAACATAGGTATTTTATGAATAATTGTATGATAAAAAATAATATTTCATGACACATTATTCCATAATAATTGCATATTAGTTGTAGTCGATATAATTTTCGTTCTTTTCACTTTCATATCAGGAAGCGAAGTGAACGGGATTCAGGTAAAACTGGATAGCCTTTTTCGTGGTTTGTCGTCTGGTAACAGATCATACTACACATACAAAGGATCACTGACCACCCCTGGATGCTACGAGTCTGTTAGATGGGTGGTACTCAAGACTCCTATTAGCATTGACAAACGAGTAGTGAGTATTTCTAGTTTACACGAGTTGTCTCTCCTAAATAACACCAAGCGGAAAAGAAATCCTTTTTCAAAAATATAATTACAATCTGATGTATAGCATTTCTCGTAAATGTTTGGATAATCATCAGCGATAAATGGTGGATCAATAGCCCACTTCCGAGATATGCTTTGCTTGTCACGCACAAAGGTTTCAGTATGAGGCTACGTGCTAAATTAAATTAATTCTTACCGCCTGTCACGAATGACTGAGCATTTAGCACGTAGCCTCATACTGAAACCTTTGTGCGTGACAAGCGAAGCATATCTCGGAAGTTGGCTATTGAGTGATCAATCGATCGAAGGGATCAGGCGAATGAATAAATTCGGAGTAACCTAATGTTTGAGTACGAAAAGAATGGATCGTGGGGTAAAATATAGTAGTAGGACCATTTGACTAACATGTTTACAATTTGAACACTAAAAAAAGTAAATATAATAGATGTAATCAAACCGCTGTGACTAAAAAACATATTATTTTTGTTTATTTCCAGCTGAAGAACTTTAGACTTTTGCAAGCTACACATGGCTACCATCACGGGAAATTGTGCAACAACTACAGACCMACCCTACCCCTCAATGGGCGAAAAGTTCAGTTGAAAGGCTGAACATCAAATGCCTTGTAGGGATTTTATTAGGAATGTAAGATCACAAATATAATAAACAAAAAAACATTAGAAATCAAAGTTTCTTTTATTTAGATTATTTTGAATGGATTTCTCACTTGATCAGTTAATGGGGCATCAGGTGATAGTGTAGGATGGGTTGTGCAATTGATCAGTTAATGGGTCATCAGGTGATAGTGTAGGATGGGTTGTGCAATTGATCAGTTAATG